CAGCAGTTCACTTCTGTTCTGACTTCCAAGCCTCTGCAAACGTATATATGCTGCACAGAGGACAGTCTGTGTGGCCCCACTTCACTAGTTATCTGCATTCTGCCTCCAATGGCCTTTGTGCAGCTAAACCGAATCCTTGTCCCAAAAGCACTACCTGGCCTAGAAATTTCTGCCACACTAAAAAGAGTCTCTGAGTTCACCAGTAGCAAAATATGGAGATTCTCATCAAAATTTATTCACCAAGGAAGTACAATTAGAGCATGCACTCTAACAGTGATGATAGCTCCAGGTGCCAGGCAACAAAGGCAAAGGAGGATGAGAGGACTGGGAGGACTTCTAGCTGATCGCCCCAAACACGGTACTACATCAGGCTCTTTCTCATTTTCTATACCCTTCCAGACCTCTGAATTTCTTTTTCTGTCCTTGTAGAGTTGTAGCTTCAGCAGAAGGGAGCACCGTCATTCCATAAAGCAGAGATGTGGGGTTTCTTAGTCTGAGGAGGGAATTGAATTCACGTCTTCCAGTCAGGAATTCTCTAATCACTGGACTGCCAGCTCTAGCTTCTGCCACTGAATATTGTAGAAACAAAGTTCTCTTTAAGTCTTTCAATTAATGCTATAGGGACCTCCTGAGTAATTTTTGGATTCTGCCTTCTAAGAGAATGGAAATATTCCTGCTTAATCCTGATTTGGATGCTTATCCTCCTGATAAGGGATAGCCCTCATGCACTACCCTCATGGTTACTGCAAGTCATTTTGTCTGAGGTACCTCACTGTCCCTGTATGCTGTACAGGGAGCCTAGGTATTTCATTTCAGGTTTTGGATACCAGTCTGGGGTGAGGCACTTAAGATGTGGGTGTTGCAGCACTCATCACCTTTATTATATCAAGCATACATTTATGTTTTTAGGCATCTCAAAAGAAACAGGAGCAGTACATGTTCAGAAACACTGAAATAACAAGTAGTTAACAGAGAAGCCAAAACACGGCTTTGTGTACTAAGGGAGCACCCAATTACAGTGTGGCTGTCATGTTTCTGTTACTTTTCAGCTTTCTCAGATTAAATCTAGATTTTTCTCCCTTCTAGATATTAAAGTTCATGCAGTCGGGGTGCCAAATTAAAGTATCTGGATCTGTCTAAAAGTCAAGAGATAAACAATACAATTATATTCAATAACATTAAAATGAAATAAACTAATCTTCAAACCTCTTTGGAACCTCACACACCCTCTGTGGTTTTTTTACATTACTGCCTCCCCAAGCACTCCCAGAAGGTTTTTATCATTATGAGGAACTTTCAATACAGACTGAAATAATAGTCAAGAATGAGCTAAGTTCCACTTCCCACAATGCTATAAGCATCCAAAGAGATTGGAGCCTGGAAGGATGTCACAAATCAGACAGATGATACAGATTCATCATGTAGAAATACATTTTCAAAATAGATGTTTCACTAGCCAACTCCCAAGAATTCTATTAAAAAGTACCCATCAGATTTCAAAGAACACCGGGCAAGATCCCCTTGGATCTCCCTCTGATAACTCAGAAATACCATGATCAGACAAATGGGGACATAATAGAGCCCTAATAGAACACAACATAACGTAGCCATGTAAGGTTGTTTCTATTTTGCACAAATCAGGCTACTATTTGCTCCATCAGCAAGTCTGAATCCAGAAGTCAGCTTTACTAGAGGGTTCATATTTACAGTCAAGCTTTGAAGTTAATCCAAAAAAGTCTGTGATTCTTCTTGGCCTTTGCACAATGTCTGTCTCTATCTTTGTTTGCTGGTTGGGAAATTTGGGCTGCTTTATTTACTTAAACATGTCTAATCATTGCATGTCATTTAACTGTTATTTGTTACAGGAGTTTGGGTTTTGAGGTGACAGATTACAACTGTCAAGAGGCAAAGGGGTCAGCTGTTGTCAGTTAAACTAAGTGGAAGAAGAAGGAGTCACTCAATACATGACTGATCTTTAGTGGCAACCAAATATACAGGCTGATCCATACAACTTCGATGAGAAACATGAATTATTTCATCCTAGCATTAATCAATCATTTTCAATGAAATTCTTCTCAGGTTTGCATTAGCATATCTATGAGAAGAAAATGCATAATGACAGTGTGTTCTCAGCTTTAATGAGCACAAAAAATTTCTTCTGCAGATCCTCTTATCCTCATTTAGATTAGAACACAGATGAGAAATGTTGTATGTCACCATTATCCTGCTTTCTTTGGCATATGAAAATTTTGTACATTAACTGCATGTGCAAAAGAGTTTAGGATGTTGCTGTAAAGACAGCAACTTTTCCTCTAAGTTTCTTTACAAAACCATGACTGTAGGGCTTAGTCTGGCCCTTGAACAGTCCTTCCTGGTTCAGAATCACCACATCCTGATTATTTTGGCTGTATTTTAATCCTTAGTTTGAATCTGCAGATTTCAGCCTAGCTAACAGCAGTTGGTTTTTAAGTATACTTTAGTTTACTTCTGGAATAACCTTAGGAACTAGAAGTTTACAGGCTCACTAAGAGCAGATTATGCCCTTTTTAGAAAACTAATTATGTTGTACAGTCTTTTATGGTGATGGCTGTATAACTCTTCATTTTAAAAGGGGCTGTGAAAAAGGGAACTGTCCTGAGGTGAGTGGGAGGAAGGCAATCAGATCCCATCACACTATTTGCTCTCTCTTCTCAGTATCTCAGTTTGCATGTGAAGCAGGGGTCATGTTACTCTGGCAGCTTCTTAGACATAAATGGGAGGATACAAGAAGTCTCTGGGGTCTACCTTTTTTTTTTTTTACTTAGAAAAAAGTCCTGTTGCTTTAAGTGAAGTTTTCTGAGCCTTTACAAGGCTTGCAAGTTACTATTCAAAGGAAACAGAAATATTTCCTAAGGATACAGATAAAAGGTAAAATCACAGCCCATAAAAAGCCTTGTTTGATAGCAAGGGTATGTAAGGACAGTGGAGTAAGCAAAAGATGTACTTGTAGAAGTGTTTCCATGACGTCTCTGCACCCAGGAAGTCTACAGGATGGCTCATCCTTGCCCCTGCCCACAGACTGGTGTAAGGTTCCACCTCTGCTGTGAACTCACTGAGTGAAGGGAGGTGCAGGCATAGCAAGCAGGATTTATTAAGAAGCAGGGACTGCACCACTGGCATTGCCTGATGTGTTTGCGCACGCCCATGTCCCAAGGCACAGCTTTGACCCTTGTCCACCATTCAGATCAGAAAGAGGGCAAAGGAAATTCAAATCAGCTGGATAAAGCATCCTCTGAAGATACCTCTGGCATCCAAGGATTTGTGCAAGGGGTTTCATTTATGTGGGGTTTTTTGACTTTTGATTTTTGATTTTGATTTATGACTTTGTTTTTGGCCCTAACAGAGTTAACTAGATTTCACCAGGAGAATGATGAACAGAAAGACTTGATTGGATCCAGAATGTGTCAGGTCCAGTTCCCAGTAAGGTAGCTAGCTAAGGGAGCCAAGCTTTATCTTTTGCTTGGTGAAGAAGATGGGGAAAGCTCACTGTGATAATGCTTTCACACAGCAATGATCAAAATTATCACAGATTGTTCCAGCCCAGGATAATATCTCTGCCTCTCTGCCTGTCTGTATGTGTTAGGAACAGCGAACTAGTGCAATTAAGTTCTTAACTGAACTTAACAGGGACTAGCAAGGTTGCGAACATCAAACAGTCTCTTAGTGGAATTAGAAAAAATTGGAATAAAATTCCCATCATATGTTCCAATATATATCTTTCCTATGAGTGCAGAGATACTTATATACTGGCATTTTCAGTGCAAGATTTTGTAAGACCTTTGCATACACTAAGTCCCATACACTAAGAATGACCTGTGTCCCCGAAAGTATGCACCCATTGTGGATTTGGAGCCATGATGGTTAGCTATTGAGTTGTTATTCACCTTTCTGTAAATACTGTTCCATCTGCTCTCTTATTCTCCATGAAAGTAAGTTAAGTGAGAAAGAATTTATTTTTTCTGCTTTCACATTTGAGGAAAGGGAGAAATTAACTTAAAAGGTGTGAGGAGCTTAATTTAAAGCTCCTGTTGTAAGCTGAAGATCCTCAATTTTTCTCTTGCTAGGATAAGAACTACTGGGGGGTAAATCATTCTTCTCCTACAGCTACGAGGAACACGGGAAGGTTCTTGCGTTCCAGGTAGAAAGACTGCGGAATTCTAAATTCCTTGAAGGAAGGTGATAATCAATCAATTTGATCAAGATAGGATCTGCAGCTATTTCCTAGTAACAGCAAACTGAATTATAAATTTCTTACTGTACTGCCCAGTGTTAAAGATATGACAACCACACAGTACTACAGACACATGCCCAGCTGTGAGGTAACAGCTCACAGTGAGATCCCTCTGCCTTATGCAACGTAAATACAATTCTGAGAGCAGATGAAGTTGGAAATGCAAGAATTTGCAAAGAGAAGTTAATTTTTACCATTGTCTGCACTGTCCATTCTCTTTAGTGGTAAGACATAGATTGCCACTACATGAGTGTTGTATGTCATATAAGCTTGATACATATTACTCTTCCCTAGATGAATGGAGAATGAGTAACAATGAATTTTTAAGCTGGACACAGTATACACTATGTATTGTTTGGCTCCAAGAAAAACCTTTCATTGGGAAAGTTGTGATGAATGCAGGGAACATCATGGAGCCCTAAGGGATTATTGATTTGGGTCAGTCCAGGCAAGTAGAAACAAAACCATGAAAGATGTTTAAAAATAATCTTGGAATATTCAGGTAGGATTCAGGACATGAATTTGAAAGGGAGTGATGGTGAGAAAAAGAAAAGTAAGCAGCATGCATGTGACCTGACCAGGAACCGGTGAGATGTTATCTTCAAAGAAAGTGATAACAAAAAGGATTTGCATTTGGTCCATTTAATTTCATCATTTGTATTCTTAAATATCTGGTCAAATAAAAGATGCAGGTGTCTTTGTGTATAGAAAAAGAGTTTTTCTGCATTACCTCCAGGAATGTTTGGGCCCATAGCCGGGACCTGATTTTTAGCGCTGCACTCTTCCCTCTTTCCAGTTGTCCCACAGTGCAGGAAATAAGGATACACTTCACATTTGTACAGTTCTGTGTACAAAATAAAGGGAAGTCATACCTATGGTTTAAAAGTGTTTACAATCATTTTCAAATGCTATAAATTAGCAAAACAAATCAACTTTCCCTTAAAGAGTTAAGTAGTCTGAAATCATATTTCATCTAATATACATGAGATACCCTATGAGTCATTGTGAGAGCTATAAACCAAGGGGAGGATTCTTTTTGCACCACCAATGAATACAACCACCAATGTATAGTAATGAAAATAAAAGTAATAATTTTCAACAATATCTACTCTGAAGAAATCTTAAAATGTCCAGGTACTTATCAATCCTTTGAAGCATGTGCTTAGTCTTCATCTATCAGTCATTTTGTGATTTCAACACTTTTGTTTCCTGTTCTCTATGCCTGAAGTCTTTATTTATGTTCCTATATCTTTCCCCTTTTCTCACTCTCCTGGTTTTCTTACTGATGTTTACGCTATAGCAGCCAGAACATTTGCTGAGATTCATTAGTTGCTCTACTTGAAACTTGTTGCCCATGAAATGTTCCTGATGAGCAGTGATCCTGGCTCATGCACAGAGTTGAAGACAAAAGCCAAGCAATGCAACTCAAAACTATATACTCTGTTAAAGTCTGACAGAAGAATATCACAAAAATGGTTAAAAGCTGACTGGAAGCCACTGAAGGGAATGAACAAACTTTTGTGGGGTAACCACAGAAATTATGCAGTCATTTGGGGTGTAGAAAGGAAGAAAGATCTCATAGAAAAATGATTAAAAGTGTGTGTAAAAAAAATGTATAGGTTTATATATACGAATGGGTTTTACCCAAAAAATTCTGATTTGATTCAGGAGGAAGGCTGAGGTTTTAACTGATTCATGTTTTTATAAAAAAGCAGAGAATCCTTCCCTTACAGATGTTTTATTGGCACTCATGACAGAAGGTCTTATGACCTCAAAAGCAAAGTTAAGTTTTCACGAGTATATTCTCTCGGGAGACCGAGAATGGCTGCACTACCAAAGCCCGCACTTCAGAAAATGAGATGATGACGTATGTAACAGATCTGAAAACACCCTGTATCTTTATAGATGGCTTTTCCCACAATTCTCTGTCTTATCACAAGTTAAGTAGAAGCTGTATGCTTAATCACTGTTTTCTAAATCTGCTTGAAAATGAAACTGTAAACCCTGGAACTTGCACTTATAAACCTTTTTCTGAAATGAATATTTCAAAGTATTGGTTTATTTGGTTTTTCATATTTAAACATCCTCCAACCAGATTTCTCTTGCAGGAAGGTGGAGAGCTGTTTTCATTAATCATAGTGGCCAAAACCACATATTAACAAAATAAATCATTAGTATGCAAAAAAGTCTACTTTTGGCTGACATTTTAGGACCTGAACACATACTTCTTTTTTTTCTTAGTAATGCATTTAGCCTGTAGTGATTTTCAGAACACTGTAACATTAGAACTAATGGAAGAGAAACCAAATGTTTAATAAACAGTATAAATAGAATAAATGGTTCTCAGAACATTTTTCTCTGTGAAAATGAAAATCACTTAAAATTTCTGACAAAAACCCCCCAAATTTTAACAAAGAATTACCTTTGGCCAATCATTTTCCAGGGCAACATTTACTTTCCATGTATATTTCCAATGTGTCAAAATTTTTTTTTTTTTAATTTTTCTGGATCTGTAGCATGCAATGCTGAAGGCATGTAGAATTAGGACACCTTTCTAACTGAACAAATGACATATTGCTTTTCTATGCCCATTGGAAAAGTCCTGCTATATATCCAGTGGTAAGCACTTTACCCAATTCTATCCTAATTTCTGCTTATCAAAAGCATACTGTACTAGAAGACTGCTCATGACAGTGCTGATTTTATGTTAGTAAATACAGTTCTTTTATGTCAGCTAAATACTATCTGTCTACATCAAGCAGCTGAAAAATCTTTGCTTCATATTTTAAGATGCAGACACAGTACATACTTAAGAACTTTGTTAACCACTTTCAGTTGCTGCAGTAATTTCTATGTTGGCAGCATATGAACCTAATCACTGAGAAAGATAACTGATAATTAAGGTATTACTGAAGAATGGATCAAGTGTTCTGTGGTATTGACTGGTATGTCTTTGAAAGCCCAGGCATTTTTCCTTCAGCCCCAGTGGAATCACATTTTTCTTAGGGTATTAGGTTGATGAAAGAATTACATAGGAATCAACAGTGATTATTGTTTAAAATGAGTTTATCTGTGATTTTGTTCCTAATAACATTATGGTACTCATTATTTTCAGATTCTATCTTCTTCCTGTTACAAAAATTGCCAAATTAAATTTCAGAAGCAGTATAATTATTCTCTTACTCCAGAATACTTAGATTTGTGAGGTTCTTTTCTTCCTACCAAATACTAGTGATGTCAAGGAATTTAGACATGAGCTTGCAGTAAACAGCTTAATAAGAGACTGGACACCGTGAAAGAAACTCTGCCCGAGGTTCGTAAAAATAGATGGAAAACACTGACTGCATGAATCCCATGACAGACCTCAAGGTCACTGAGTTTGACCACAGCCTCTAGGCAAGGGGAGCTGATACCTACAATGCTGAAGTATGCTAAAGATGGGACGTTGAATATAAGAACAGAAAAAAAAGCAACCTTCTGAAAATACAGCCAAGTCCGAATACTCAGGTACCAGACTGACTAATCAGAACTATTTTCCTGGGAGAAAGATCTTTGCTCTTGCTCCAGCATTGTTAGGAATGTTAAAAATGCAGTGTCCTGTCCCATTTGCCTTGCTTGTGGTACTGTAAAGGG